AGTAACCCAAGGTTAAGAACCAGTGGACTAGGCTACTGACCTGTGGAATTGTCTGCCTATGGGATGGCACTGAGGAAATGTTTGGTTGGTTTCATACACAGCACAATTGACTGTTTCCTGTTGGGGAAAAGGGCTGAGGATTTTTCCCAGCCTGGACTTTTGCATGATGGAATGAGCAGGGGTGGGGGGAAATCAGATACATGGGATTTTTCCCAGCCTGGACTTTTGCATGACGGAATGCGCAGGGGGGTAAAAAAATCAGATACATAGTTGTTGTGGCTGGAAGACAATGGAACAGTATGTACATTCTATGAAGTTTGATACTTTCAATGGCTTCAGACTCAGAGTGTGCCCTAATAAGATATTATGGTCACATCATGTGATGCAGGATGAAGGATTTACTTTCTGAGAGTAAAGAAAATTGGTGCAATGCACATTTTTCCCCAGCTTGCCATCTACCAACACTGAATTGAATTTTAGGGGTGAAGATAAGGAAGCCAACCAGAATGCTGGAAAATTACAAGTATCATTGGAGCAAAAAGTAATTGTTGCTTGGGTCTCAGAGTCACATTCATTCCTACGCACATCCATGCTTGCAGATGCTTTTCGGTTCACTTTTTCTCATGTAATCTTTACTTTTACAGATTTTGACTGCTCTGGGGCCTTTGAGCCTTAGTTCGTCTTCATTCTGAGAGATGGTTTAGTTTTTATAATGGATTAGATTACTCTTGGGGGATTCTACACCACACATACATACACACACATAGTTATTTCACTACTTTATTTTACCCTTTTCCTTTTGCTTTTCTGGATTAATTCTCCTGCATATTTCCCTGTATTTTCAAGTCTTTCTTTCACAATCTTTAGGCCAAACAGCTGGAACATAGTGAACTTCAATTATAGGGCTGATGGAAAGTTAGGAGGAAACATAGTGTTTTGTAAAGGGCTAACTATGGTTTACAGGGACATGGTGGCGCTGCGGGTTAAACCGCAGAAGCCTCTGTGCTGCAAGGTCAGAAGACCAGCAGTCGTAAGATCGAATCCACGCGACGGAATGAGCTCCCGTCGCTTGTCACAACTCCTGCCAACCTAGCAGTTCGAGAGCATGTAAAAATGCAAGTAAATAAATAGGTACCACCACGGTGGGAAGGTAACAGCGTTCCATGTCTAGTCGCATTGGCCACGTGACCATGGAAACGGTCTATGGACAAACGCTGGCTCTGCGGCTTGGAGACAGGGATGAGCACCATGCCCTAGAGTCAGACACGACTGGACTAAATGTCAAGGGGAACTTTTACCTAACTATGGCTTATTTTGCATAACTATAATTTCATCTGATACTTTATTACAGGTTATCCTGCTTTGCACTTTTCAAGTAATCATTGCACTGTATTTTGACAGAAATTAATTGATTTTCCTTTGATTTCTTTTATATTGTGCTTTCATTTTGTGCATCTTACTCTATGTTTATCTGCTGTGGTTTAAATAAATCTTCAAATTAATTGTACCTGTAGATAGCCTCAAATGTGGGTACACATTTCACCCACTTGGGTAAACAAAGGATCCTGTTTTCAAAGCATATAGCTGGCTAGATTTGGAAATGATAATAGACCACAGTTGATCCTTCGCCTGCTCCAAGGGATTCCTTATGTACTTACAAATTTGGATGGATGCAGAGAGTGGACAATAGTACTGTACCATATAGAGGTTTTTAACACTGAATGCTTCTTCACAATGTATATATGCTCATTCATATGACTGTGGAAATCTAACTTCATGTTAGAGTTTGCCTGCAACATGAGTAGGATAAAAGAGAGAAGGGGATGTGAATGTGCAGAAGTACTCCATAGCCATCATCTCCATGTTCTCAGCAGCCTTGGAGATCTTTGTTCATTAAGTATGAAGATCTGAATGGGGCTTTGTAAGCACTTCTCAGCAGATATATTCAAGCTTACCCTAGCAGGGTTCCTGGTATAGTGAGTTGGTGTAGGTCCATATCCACTTCCTACCTTTGTCGCATGGTTGCTTAGGACTTTGGCCTATCTGCATTTGTAGCAGATTTGTGTCTAGGTTCAAGAAACCAACTTAATTGAAGGTACATGCATGATAGTAGCAATGGGTACTATACCTGGTTGATTGAAATATATATCATCAAGTGAATTCTCAGGGTGTGCTTCAAGCACAAAACTCAGTGTAGACTCCAGATTGTTTTGTGTTATAGGAAAACAGCCTGATTCAACTCTGGCTCATTTGGAGACTGCTTAATTTGATTTAGGTCCAAATCTAAATCTTCGGAAGTACAAATCTTTGTACCTTCCATTGTTTATAAATACACAGTGTTAATGCTTTTTTCTGTTTGTCAGAACTGGATAAAATTTGCCAACACTTTAAACAAATAGATGCAGTAGGGGTTTTTGTGTGTGTGTTATAACTACCATTAAGTGGCAGGTTTGTTAAGAAATAAAGGGGAGAGTAATGGGGAACTGGTGGCAATTTTATTTCTGGAAGAAGTGTTTAAAATTTGCGCCACTGTTGTTCCTCTGACAGGATCAAGCCTATCTAGTTTCAAAAAGATCAGTTGTGTATTTATGGTTTGGGGTCTCCAGCATAAAAAAAATTTAATTCCTAGAAGTTGGGGTTTTGGTGCTTTGATGGGCTGGACAGTCCTTACGAAAATTACACAAATGGGATAGCCCTGCTGGAAATACATTTTAAGAAAGATAGGTGGAGAGTTCACAGGGAATTATATTAGGGGAATGTTCCAATTTTGGATTTAGGGAGTGCTTTTAATGAAAATGGCATATGGCATAGACAGTATTTGAGAAGGATAGGTGCATATAGGTATTGTAGTGGATGAAAAACAAATCAAATTTCCTTTTCTATTCTACATGATTTACCTGGAATGAATAGAACATTCATTGGAATTGGGAAAGTAGATGATAGATGGAAGACTTTCCATGCCAGAGATGGAAAGATACGAATATCAGGCATTTCCCAAGTAACTTCTTAACACAGCACTTTCCTTGGTGTTGCAGATTCCAGCAAAACACTTTCAACATACCAGATACTGAAAGAACCAGCCCCCCCAAAAAACTCCCAGTGATTAGAAGCTAGTCAGATTGACTACAAAATTAACACCCTCTCTTCTACTCTACTCTTAACCTGCTTTCTTTTCCTTATGCAGAACTTGGAGAGAGATGCTTAGTACAGTATTTGAAGATTCTATTGTGTGTGCCCCTACAGATATAGTTAATGAATTTTCAGGAGTGGTCAAATTTAGATTTGGTTCACTCTAAAAGAGCCCACCTTAAATCCAGATACCTCCCAAATATATCCAAGTCAGCCTGAAGACCTTTCTATTAGTGGTACTCAGACACAGAAAAGTCTTCCAGAGCAAATAATGAAAAGTCTTCTGGTACTTGAAAAACTGCAAGTTTTATTTAGCACACATGTTTGTGAGCTGCAGTCTGTGAAAACTTATGCCAGACAGAATGTATTGTTATTTTCCATAGTATTTTAATGTTGTATTTGTTTTTCTGAACCATCCACAGAACTTGTGTTGCAAATAAGCAGTTATATCAAAAGATAAGAAGACCAGCATGTTAGGGCAAAACAAGGCCATGGAGGACTTTAAAAACAGACAAAGGAAGTTGTGTTGGTTGTCAGAAGGACATTGCATCTTGCAAAAAGTAACAAAATGGTATTATTTTGGTACTGGAGTTTTGAGCAGAGGTGAAAAGTGTCCAATGAACTGTGGGAACAGAAGGCCAGAGGAAAGATAGTAGTCATGATGATTGTGGCACTGACAGTAAAATCTGTTAGAGGAAAAAATCTATGTTGTGGCTTACCATAGTGTGGAATGCATACAGTGAAGAACGATGGGCACACATAGATTTAAAATACACAACAATTGATAATTAAAAAAAAAACCAGAAACAAACATACAATATACCCAAATATTTATCCATTCTATATTATACTATGCCTAACAAAACCTTGTTTTATTATGCATTTGGTTTAGAGGTTGTACATAAATTCAAGAAATACAAATACAGTACTGTACGTTTTCATATTATGGGGTGGAACTGGATGCCTGGCATGTACCTACAGAAATCCTAGAGACACCATGAAACCAAACTAAGGTCTATAGCTGGATAATTCGATGGTTCACGAAGAGTCAGACACGACTTAACGACTAAACAACAACAACCTGTTGTCTGTGGAGACAAGAGGCTGGGAGTTTGATTTCTGTGCCTCATTGACAGGAGCTTGAAACTATGGCTCATAAGGCCTCTTCTAGATTATGTGTGTCCTCCTTTTGGTCCAATTAAAGCTACCAGCTACACAGCCTTTTAGATGTCATCAAAGGACAGCAATTTGTTAGTCATATAACTTTTGTTATTTTAATATTTTCCAGTGTGTGAGAGAGAGACTTTGTGGCTTTCCTCTTTCAGATGCCAAAGCACATTCATTTGGCTGGCTTTGGGTAATAATAATGCAGCTTGTCTTGGGTGAGCAGATTTACCATTGGCTGTTCTGCTTATGTTCCCCCTGCACCCCTGCCAAGTGAGGGAGATTCAGATCCACTGTAAGCAAGTGTAGCGGTAGAAGAGATAGCCAGGATAATCTGTGCAAACATTATAGGTAAAAACAAAATAAAAATAAATAAAAATAAAAGAAATGAGAAGGTGCTTAAGCTTCTCCCCCCCCATCCTATTGGGAAAACTGGCGCAGCGTTTTGTTCGGGGAGAGGCGATCCACGAAGGGGTGACGAAGTTGGGAAGCGGGTGAGGAACGCTCAATAGAAAACCGCGCGGGTGCACACGCTGGACGTCCAGTTGTGCCCATCGGCGTATAATCCTCCATTCCTGCATCTCCCTCCGCCCCGTGGAGGAGAAGGAGGAGGAGAATGTGGCGGTGTCTCTCTCTCTGCCCCCCCCCGCCCTCTTCTCTCCTCAGCCCCGAGCAAAAGAGGCGTTTTGCAACAGATGGTTCAAGACATTCCCTTCGGCGCGTCCCGCGCTCTCTGGCTGGCGAAGCGACCGGGGAGCCCCTCGGCGCGCCGGAGGAAGGGCGGGACCGAGGCCAAAGCAGCTGTGTGGTCCTGCGGGGAGGGGGACGCGCGGGGCTTCGGGTGACACTGGGGGCGCGCGCGGCTTCGCTCTCCACAAGCCCTTTCTCTGCCCCCCCTTCCCCACTGAAAAGCAGCCCGGCTCGTTCTCTGTTGCCAGGGCAAACCCCAACCCCGCCTCCTCCTCCTCCTCCTCTGCCCGGGTCCACCTCACTTGGCAAGTGAAACAAGCGCCGCCTTGGCCCTGCGTGCATGGGAAGGGCTGCCTGAGGTAAGTTCGCCGGGGGAGGGGGGGGAAGGAAAGTGACCCGCTCCTTTTCGTTGTTGTTGTTGGCTGCTTTCGAAGTTTGACCTTGTTTCTGCACTTGAGGCACCAGGG